AGACCACCCCAGAGACTTTTACTTTTTGGTACCTGTATATACAGTTTTACTTTGCTTAATTGTTTTTTTTATTTTTTATAAATTGTTACTTTTACCTTATACATCTGGTAGTGGATCTTCAACTGCTTCCTGCATTTTCTAAAGAAGGGTAGTGCCTCCCTTAAAGGCACCACACGCTTATACATAGAGCCTAGTACAATTGGCTCTATTCCAGGTGAGCACATTCATGCACTGTTATATGTGACCACTTGTTTATTTTAAACATACTTGCACTAGGATTTTTGTCCTTTTTTATCCACATATGTTGTGAGCTGTATATCTGGAGAAGGTCTGGTATTACCAAACATACCTCAGCTGTTGTGATTTGAGCCAATCTCCAGGCTCTTTACCATGTGAGTTGGACATACATCTTCTTCCACTCCATTCACACCTTACAAGCATACTGCACCATGATGTGTATTTTCTTGTTGTAGATTTTATTATGCTGTCTGCCCCTTAAAGTGATATATACGTTATTCCAATAGGGGTAAGAATTTGATATTTAGCGCTCCACTGAGTGATCTTTTGGTAGTTAGGGACAGTGCTTTAACCTTGCTGGGTTAGTTAGGGACAATGCTTTAACCTGCGCTGGATTAGTTAGGGACAGTGCTTTAACCTGTGCTGGATTAGTTAAGAACAATGCTTTAACCTGCGCTGGGTTAGTAAGCGACAATTCTTTAACCTGCGCTGGGTTAGTTAAGGACAATGCTTTTACCTGCGCTGGGTTAGTAAGCGACAGTGCTTTAACCTGCGCTGGGTTAGTTGGCAACAATGCTTTAACCTGCGCTGGGTTAGTTGGCAACAATGCTTTAACCTGCGCTGGGTTAGTTAGTGACAATGCTTTAACCTGCACTGGGTTAGTAAGCGACAATGCTTTAACCTGCGCTGGGTTAGTAACCGACAATGCTTTAACATTGCACTGGGTTAGTTAGCGACAATGCTTTAACCTACGCTGGGTTAGTTAGGGACAGTGCTATAACCTGCGCTGGGTTAGTTAGGGACAGTGCTTTAACCTGCGCTGGATTAGTTAGGAACAATGTTTTAACCTGCGCTGGGTTAGTAAGCGACAATGCTTTTACCTGCGCTGGGTTAGTTAGGGACAGTGCTTTAACCTGCGATGGATTAGTTAGGAACAATGTTTTAACCTGCGCTGGGTTAGTAAGCGACAATGCTTTAACCTGCGCTGGGTTAGTAAGCGACAATGCTTTAACCTGCGCTGGGTTAGTAAGCGACAATGCTTTAACCTGCGCTGGGATAGTTAGCGACAATGCTTTAACATGCGCTGGGTTAGTTAGGGACAGTGCTTTAACCTGCGCTGGGTTTGTTAGGGACAATGCTTTAACCTGAGCTGGGTTAGTAAGCGACAATGCTTTAACATGCGCTGGGTTAGTTAAGGACAATGCTGCGCTGGGTTAGTAAGCGACAATGCTGCGCTGGGTTAGTAAGCGACAATGCTTTAACCTGCGCTGGGTTACTTAGCGACAATGCTTTAACCTCTGCTGGGTTAGTTGGCAACAATGCTTTAACCTGCACTGGGTTAGTTAGCGACAATGCTTTAACCTGCGCTGGGTTATTTAAGGACAATGCTTGAACCTGCACTGGGTTAGTTAGCGACAGTGCTTTAACCTGCGCTGGGTTAGTTAGGGACAGTGCTATAACCTACGCTGTGTTAGTTAGGGACAGTGCTATAACCTGCGCTGGGTTAGTTAGGGACAGTGCTTTAACCTGCGCTGGGTTAGTTAGGGACAATGCTTTAACCTGCGCTGGATTAGTTAGGGACAATGCTTTAACCTGCGCTGGATTAGTTAGGAACAATGCTTTAACCTGCGCTGGGTTAGTAAGCGACAATGCTTTAACCTGCGCTGGGTTAGTTAAGGACAATGCTTTTACCTGCGCTGGGTTAGTAAGCGACAATGCTTTAACCTGCGCTGGGTTAGTTTGCAACAATGCTTTAACCTGCGCTGGGTTAGTTAGCGACAATGCTTTAAACTGCACTGGGTTAGTAAGCGACAATGCTTTAACCTGCGCTGGGTTAGTAACCGACAATGCTTTAACATTGCAATGGGTTAGTTAGCGACAATGCTTTAACCTACACTGGGTTAGTTAGGGACAGTGCTATAACCTGCGCTGGGTTAGTTAGGGACAGTGCTATAACCTGCGCTGGGTTAGTTAGGGACAGTGCTTTAACCTGCGCTGGATTAGTTAGGAACAATGTTTTAACCTG